TGTGTCCAAATACCACCAAAGAATATTGTAATCAAACCAATATCAGAAAAGGTGACTGTCAATGACTTTTCTCTTTCTGATGTGCCTCGTCCTTCAGATTGGAGGAGTCCAGCGCCGCTTTGTGTGCGCAGATGGAGCGTCTGGAACAAGAGATGGAGCAGGAGAAGAAGAAGCAACGCATGCTGGAGATCAAACTACGAAACTCTGAGCGAGCGCGGGAGGACGCGGAGAACCGCAACCGGCTTCTGGAGAAGGAGATGGAGGATTTCTTTTCCACGCTGGGAGATCTGGCTCTGGGTGCGAGGACTAGTGACATTTGATACGGCATGTGGCCAAAACTGTCAGGGTTTTGTCTTTCTGGGGGTCTTTGAACACATCCTCCTTGGTGTATCAGGGCGTTGAAGGAACCGGCCATATTTGTGTACATTCAGGACGAACAGAAATATGGAGATCAGAGAGAGGAGACTCTGAAGCATGCTTGAAGTGGAACGTTGAATTAAGATGTGAATACACTCCTTGATGAGTCCAGGGTTTGTCTTGTGAAGGCAGTATTTAACAGTTCAGGTGCCTGAAGTGTCTGAAGATGTGGATGGTGGGACATAATGTCATTTCTCTGACATTCTCTATGCTGGAGAGCACTGACATTAACCACGACTTATAGGGACATTACACAAATGCTTTTTGTTCTGCAACTGAAGGACATGTTGACGTTAGCAGGCCGCTGACTGATATCTATCTGTAAGGAATAGGGCTACATTTTGGGATACACACTTATTTGCCTTCTTGCTGAGAGTGAGACGAGAGAATATTATTGTCAGTTGGATTGATATGTAGCTACAGTTAGCTTAGCTTTAATTAGAGATTGAAAACTGGAAAAAGGGCTAGCATAGCATTTAAGTCTGCCAACCAACAGTTCTCAAGCAGATTTATTAACATGTTAGGCTAACTTTTTCCACTGTTTTCCATATTTATATTAAGCTAAGCTAACTCTATCCACTGTTTTCTACCTTTATGATAAGCTAGGCTAACTAGCTACTTGCTGTGGCTTTAAATGTATCCTACAGACATGAGAATAGTGTCAATCTAATCTTCTAACTCTCCACAAGGCTAATGAATGAAGTATTTCCTAAAATATAAAGCTGTATTAACTGTAAAGTCAGTTCACCTAAATTAAAAAACGGCATATTTTCTCCCTTGCCTGTTATGGTAGCATAAATTGCTTGGTTTTTGAAGTTACGAAACAGTCAACTTTGTAAAGGCAGATTGAGGAAAATCTAAAAACAACGAACCTCTTGGTGAGCAAAAGCTTTAACATGCTTGAATTTGAGCACAACAAAACATGTCCAAATAAAACACAAGTTATCTGCACGGCTAGAGTTACATGGGAAAATGTGTTTTTGGTAATCTGAGTGAACTGACCGGTTAACAGTGGTAGCTTTAGCAGAGGTTTTCCGCTTGCATTTATAGTATATTTGTGCTGCAAGTATGGATGTTTTACTCTGGAAGTTTGTTCATCAAAACACGAAAGCAAGTGGGTCAAACTAGATGATTCCTTTGGAGCAGTAAGGTGGAAGCTCTGCAAAAAGCTGCTTCTTTTTCCTCAGGCCCTTCCAGTGCATCGACACCTCGTCACCATCTGCATTTTGATGGGAAAAGCCTCAGTCTCCGGGTCACTCCGATCCACACAGATGTCAAAATACCTTTACCGTACAACAGGGACAACGGGAAACAATTATTGAAGCATTTTCACTGTCGCGCATGCTGCCTATAACACAGGAGGCCATTACAGTACATACCAAAGCTGGACCACTGAAGATCAGAATGGCCTGTCTGGAAGCCATGTTGATTTTGGCACATGAAGCTGAACACTGCCCTCAAAGAAACAATGGAATTTCCTGGTCGTGCCTTCAGGGAAGTGATTTTAAATAGAAATGTAGTGTTGCTTGCTTGTCCAGAGATGTAGTGCATATATTCACATTATAGTACACCGTGGCTGCATTGATTTCTTTTTCTTTGTATCATTTGGCAACAGACTGCTGATTACGAATAACACGATATCCCTGTAGAAGGTGCCAATTCTTGTGAAAGTCACTTGTGAATTGAATGGAAGTTATGAATTGAGAATGTATCATTGTAGTGAATGTAACGTGTCGTTAATGAAACCAGCCCTATGGAAAAAATACAATTTAAAAAGGATGGGAGATTAGTTATCAATGATGGTGTTCAGCTCATCTATTGTCTTACTTCCTGGAACTGTGGTGCATTATGGGATGCATCACACAGGCCTGCATCACATCAGCTAGCTGTGATCTGGTTCATTGAAAACTTAGATGTTTCTAAAATGAAGATTAGCAGATATCTCTTTTGTGAGAATTGCATGTGATCAAATTGTTAAAACATTATTTTTAGCATCTTATCACCAATCGTACGAATGTGCCGAAGTGATGCTTGTTTGTTAAACTGCGAGACAAATTACAAGTGAAAATGTGCATTTGGTTAGACAATGTGACTGTATTTTCTTTTCCTTTTATATATTTTATAAAGAAACAAAGCCAATGGTTTACAAGGTACTTTTCTCCACTCCACGCTATGATGGTCTCAATCTATTGCAGGTTCTTTAATTCCAACAGAGGGCATGTATTTCCCTTTATGTATCACGGCTGAGGCTCAGTGTTTCTTACTGCTGATTATCTATGGTGCTTATTTATTATGGATTTCCACTATTGTAATGAATGGACATGTATGGGAATAAAGGTGACAAATGTGTACATCAACGTCTTGCTTTAAGATGCCAAAGGAAGGAAGACAAAAGTAGCTTCCTGTATTCAGTGTGTGTTATTATGTATACAGAGTACACCCTTTTGTTCAAAGTTATTTACTATTTGACTACGTTGTTTTACCGTAAAATGTTAGGGAATGCATTACAGAGATAAAAAAACATGACCAATAATTCAATGTATGTCAATTAAAAATGTGTATAATTAACTCTCCCACTTTTACTTAAAATCAATTTAGGTGTTAAAGGATATGCTAACCACATCATTTTTCAATTAAGACACTTTCCAAAACACATTCCAGTAGAGAAGTGAAAAGGAGGCTATTCATTTAACATTTTAAAATGTTAAATGGACTGTATTTATATCGCCTGTCTTTGTGACCCCTCTAAGTGCTTTGACATATACAGTATGAGTCAGCATTCACTCATTCATACAAAGGTACCACCTGCATAGGGAGACTAATATACACACACACACACAATGTATACATCACTTCAGGGGCCATTACATTGATTTAGATGCATTTCCTGGGCCCAGGAGTTCAACACTTTTAATCCCTATCAGATCAGGTTTGGATTTTGGGGAGTTCAAAACCAAAAAATAGGATTAGGGTCACTTTGATATCAGATCAGGAAATCAAATCCAAGCTTTAATCTGGATCAAATCTTCAAAATGGGTAGTTTGATCCCAAAAAACTGGATTATCCTGATCCCACCAGAGGGGTGGATTTCCAGAGCAAAATGTACTGTACAATTTATTTAAAAATATGTTTCAATATAAATAATATGGAAAAGTTTGTTAACTGAAATAATACACAATTTTCAGCCTTCATGGCAAATCAATTTTATTTTTCATTATTTGGTCATGTTCGTGGTGGCCTATTTTGTTTTTAACCAAATGTTGATGACATAAATGTTTATGCTCATAAAAGTATCACAACAAAGATTGTCAATCACAAATGTAATTTAGATTAAAGAAAAAATATCTTCAACAAAAAAAAAGTCCATCTGTCATCACCTTTCACATTTTAAAATATTTAGACATTATAGATGTCTCTGCAATGTGGTCTCTTGTCTTCCTTGTATTATTTTTCATGTCCACTAGATGGCGATCGGTCGGATTAAAGCACTGATATTCAGGATCTAGTAATCTTGAAAAATCGTAATCTGGATCAGGCAGGGACAACATCTGGCCGATTTGTCTGATCGGATCTGATTGAGATTAAAAGTGTTGAACTCCTGGGCCCTGGAGACTTAACCATAACATGCCTAACCCTAATGATTCCCCTTATGTCCCCATAAGGGAGGTGAGTCCCCACACGTGACTGTGTAAACAGATGTAGGTCCCCACAAGGATAGTAATGCTAGGATATATACACACACACACATCACTTCAGATGCATTTCCTGGAGACTTATCCTAACCTTAACCATAACCAACACATGCCTAACCCTAACCAAGTCTTCACCCTAAAATTAATGATTCCCCTCATGGGGACCTCCCTTATGTCCCCATAAGGGAGGCAAGTCCCCACATGTGACTGTGTAAACAGATGTAGGTCCCCACAAGGATAGTAATGCTAGGTCACACACACACACACACACACACACACACAATTGGTCCTACCTATAACAACGATGCATCCACATGTTGACATCAGAACGGACGATCTTCCAAATGGGGGACAGCTCCTAAAATAGGCTGAAAAGGCTTGGTGCAGCACTCCTTTGATCAACTGTCCTTTACTATTACAGCCCATATTATGTCACAATACACTGTGCACAATGTTCACAAAGGTGAATGAATCCATCAACAAAATATATGATGTGTAGTTACCATTTACTTCCTTCCTCTGTCTGAGACACTAAACTCCAAGCATTTGTTCATATATAAATAATTTAACTGTCAACAAATACACAATATATTGTTTGTTATCTAAATAGATTCTCAAAAGCAGGGCACTTTAAGCTAACGTAGCACAAAAAGGAGTAAATGCATGTAGTCAGCAGCAAGATAATACACATGTTCATATAACAGTGCACTGCCAATGTACATTGTTTTAACATTATTTAAAAAACATTATATAGTTTATTATTCCAATTAAGTCGAGCTTTTCACGTCATTATCATCATAAACCACCAAAATGGTACTAAAGTGTCCTGGATTAGCAAGGCAACAAATGTTGGGTTTTCTTGTGACTGTAGGAAAGAAGACACAACAATAATTCAAAGTGTATTTCTTTTATTTGCAGTACATGTTTTTTTTTTTAGGAGGTGGCATCATCAGATCCTTGTGCATGTATTCTAGCAGTGCACTTCTTCGTTGGTTGCGTTTTTTTGGGACGCGCAGATCCAGGAATTCTTAAAACTACTTGCATGGCTGGATTCACTAGCAAACATTACAAACCAGCACCATACATATAATGATTTCTTGTAGGTATTTACTCGTCTTTTTTGTGTTTATTAACATTATTGTCCTTACCACACACTGCAAATCAGAAACCTGTTGGCCTTGTTGTGACTCAGAGAACTTCCTGTCTCTGCGTCAAACCTCGAGCCGACAGATTTTATTTGGCGGGTAAGACTGATTACGTAACATCATGACTATAAACAAGTCACAGAAATAAAAATGGATCTTATTCATAAAAAAGGAAAACATGGATTGACAGTACCAAACATTTTCTTTACCTTCAGGAGACAGCTAACAAAAGGCTAGGCCCATCACACACTACTAGCACAGTTTGCTGAAGGTATTGCACATTTAGTTTAAAAACTAAAAAACAAACCAAAATAAAAGGACCAAAAAAAATGCATATAACAATTCTCTTTACTTCTAGGTGAAGTATACATAATGTACAAAACTAGAAGTCTGTTGAAACCGACAAATAGTACACTTTCAAATAAATAAATAATGGAATCTGTTATTCACACGTCTTCGATAGCTAATTCTGCAGGCGACTAAGTATATGCAAGAACGGGCAGAAATTCAGCGTGAGGTAGTTCATCAAAGCCGACTTAAATCAGAATGACATAGTTTGGAGAGATGCGGTAATTGTAATTTAAAAAAAAGCAACAACAACCTCAGAAAAATAAAATAAAAACCACAAGGAAATATTCAAATGAAAGCCCCTAATATTGGGTTAACGAAATTAAGAGCACTTTACACAAAAGTGTTTTTTTCTGATTGATTATTTTAGCTAATATGACAAATGGAAACAGACCACTGATTTTCTCCCTGCCTTCTTACATATGTGAGACATCATTTAACATTTCTGCACACTACTGGATCATTTATGACTGCAGATTGAATTTAGCTACTCATCTGCCCTTGCACTTTACTAGCCACCCTTCCTTTTTAATTCTGAATACCAAAAAACGGGGACAATTACACCAGCTGTTCATGAATTCAAACTAGTTTTATCAAGATGAGTTAAGATTTAATCACAAAATAAAAAAACATTATAACAGGTTGCACCACATAGAGCTAACGTTAGCCTGCTAATATTCCATGTTAACTCTTGTGTAGCTAACTGACATAGCTATAATTAGCATTCCGTAACAAATGTTAGCTGTTGCGTAGCTCAGTAACGTTAGCTTGCTGATATATAAAATGTTAACATTATATAGCTTAGGTTTAGCTTTGTTAATATATCAAATGTTAACTGTTGTGTAGCTAAGTAACAAAGCTAACGTGAGCTAGCTGATATACTGTAGTAAATGTTAACATTATATAGCTTAGGTTTAGCTTTGTTAATATATCAAATGTTAACTGTTGTGTAGCTAAGTAACACAGCTAACGTGAGCTAGCTGATATACTGTAGTAAATGTTAACATGATATAGCTTAGAGAGTAAACTAACTATGGTTTGTCAATATATCAAATGTTAACTGTTGTGTAGCTAAGTAACACAGCTAACGTGAGCTAGCTGATATACTGTAGTAAATGTTAACATTATATAGCTTAGAGAGTAAACTAACTATGGTTTGTCAATATATCAAATGTTAACTGTTGTGTAGCTAAGTAACACAGCTAACGTGAGCTAGCTGATATACTGTAATAAATGTTAACGTTATATAGCTCAGTGACAAAGCTAACGTTAGCTTGCTGATATATTCAATGTTAACATTATATCTGCCTATCAACATGTTTGTTAAGTTTTGATGGTGCAACCCGATACACTTAACAAGTTTTAAACTAGTTAGTTAAAACTGTTTACCAATTTGAATGAACTGCTGGTGTCGAGCTTGAAAAGGAGGAGCAAAAGTGCGGCAGAATTTGAGAAACAAACATTTAAAAATAAATAGTTTGAATAGTTTGTTTAGCCTTTTATATTTGGCAGACAGTTACAAGTTTTTTTAACAGCATATTATATTGCAGTCTAAAGACTTACTTGCAAGTTTGCTTTGCGCAAAGAGTCGTTATCAAAGAGCAAGACAGGTTTGAGACAGTAACTAAACCCTAACTCTGCCTCTTACTAATAACAAGTTAGTTTTGCAAACATTTCAAGCATGCAGAATGTATGCATTAAACTGCAATAAGCCTAACAAAAAGTAAATATTGAAAATACAATGTAAGCCCGTTTTATTTGTTTAGGACCATTATATTCATGATCCATTACACTACTTTTCTAGATAGCTTGCATTTCATATGGCTTGTTTAAACTTGAGTTACTATGGTTAAATACCACAAGTGTTACTTTTTTTGTTTTGTTTGGCTCTGTATCTCAGATATATGTTGATTACTAAAGCATTATTCTGCTAATTTAAATGGTATCCATACCGTCACTAAATACTAACAAAAATGCAGTCGCGAAGTTCCCTCATTTAGTTTGATCCAGTAGTTGAATTTAAACCCATCCTGTTCATTCTTCTCTTACAATCATCACATTAAATTAGTACTCATAGAAAAGCCAAAAGACGGTTATTAACATATATTTCGGTTGTTGTCACTGCAAAGAAACATACTTTGATGAAAGACTTTGATAAACTGCCTTTTTTCTCCTGAAATTACTCAACGTATTCGCCCTCACCTTCTTACCCTGCAAGACGCCGCCGTCTCCCGCTCAAAGGGTCGAAACCAAAACAAGTAGAAAAATATACGACACATTTTGTGTGAACTACAACCCTGTCATACATTATCGGTTTTAATATGGAAACCACCGTTTTAACCATTAAAACATAACGCAATGAATTCCTTCGACGTACTCAGGAATGAATGACAAACAGGCACTTTTCCTTTCAAAGCTAAATTAAAGAAACAAGGGCACGATTATTGCATACCGTAAGAATCATGTGTTTCTTTTGACTCTCGTTGGTCGTGCTAGGTTATTTTTTCACAAATGCAGGCAAGTCTGGTGCGCAAAATGTTTGGCCATCCTTAAGAAAAATCACTCTTTAAATTCCAAATTGACTACATTACTAATAACAGGATATGGTTGTTTTTTTGTTGCCATCAGGCTGCAGAATCACTATCCCTCGATAAACGTTGTCACGTTCACATGCTTTCCCATAACTCACAAATCCCTACTTTACTGAAGCACATACTTACACCATCACCGAGTTTACAACCTCGCAAAACTCACCTACGTCTCAATAAACCTCCCACAAAAAAAACATTCTTTACTTTTAGCGACAAATCACTTGTCAAAGCAAGCCCGAAAGCTCATCCCGCCCTAAAAAAGCAATACCATCGATCCAGATCCATTCGCCTGTTGCACACAAAAATACTTTAAAGCACTTTAAACATACAGAAGACGGTCATCAAAAAGCCCCAAGTTATATCTCGCGAAACCTAACTGTCATTCTCAATCCCTTAGCGTAAATGCAGAATCATATGCTGAGTGAAAATCCTTTTGAAACCCTATTATCGGAACAGGAAGAGTAAATTATAAAGCTTTCATCACATGTTTACAATGTAGGAAGTAGTAGTGACTCACAAGAAAATAAAAACATGTTTTAGGATATGTCATAAGCACTCAAAAGATATCCATAGATAAGGGGAGTACTAAGATCATACGTCTGTCAATTCGATTATGTTTCAATGGCTCACTGCAACTCGTATTGAAGATACAACTACATTTACCATAACATCTGTACAAACTCAATCTACACTTATATGGCAAGTTGTAAAAGCAGTAGCTTACGAGTGAAACGAATGAAGTCCAACAGAAAAATAGATCACATTAAAACGTTTTTTTTTTTTTACAGATATCTCTTTCAATTCTCACTGTCGGTTAAAAACTAACCGGAACGTAGTGAAATCATAAAAACTCTCTTATCGTCATCTTAGGTTTGTGAGGGGAAAAAAAAGATTAAGAAATGCCACAATAAATTACAGCTAGGACTCAAAATGAAAAAGAAAATAACTGTAATTGTATTTTATTTTTTTTAAGAAAGAAAATAAAGATCTGTCCTTTCAGAAAGAATTTCTCAAACAGCTAGCTGGCTAATCGCTACACTACTGAAGACTAGCACAAGAGGGGAAAGTGGGAGGGGCAAATGCAAAGGGGGCGGGGCTAGTGAAGTGGTCTTGGGTCTGACCAGGAGGCGGGGCCCAGCCCAGGACCAGGAAGTGGATGTTTTGGGGGTTAGATGATAGTCATCTGCAGGAGGCTGGATGTAGCATCCGCGGCGGCGGCGATGCTAGCCGTCTGCAGGCTGCTGTCAGAGTCAGGGTCGAGGAGACGTCGATGAAGAAGAAGGAGGAGGAGAAGAGCTCACTGCTGCACCTGTGCTGTGAGACAGAGGGGAAGCTCGGTGGTCAGCTAACCAGATTCAAATTCAAAGGTTTTATTGTCATATGCACAAAGCTACAGTGTAGAAATGGCAATGAAATTCTTCTGACCTGAGCTCCTCCAACAATGCAATATATATAATAAAATACAAAATAAAAAGTAGTGCAAAAAGTCTGTATACGAGAGTAACACATGCGTCACTTCCGGACAAAAAGTACGGCCCCGCCCACTTTTTGGGGAAAACAAAGCTGTCATTTGAATGGCGGTCAATACAAATTCTGAAGTTTTTGCCAATCCGATCAGAAATGTAAGAAAACCGTGGATTTTTGATCTTCAAAGAGCCCGGTTACGACGGCCAGACAGGCAAACAATTACATTAAATCATTGGAAATCGACGATCGGGCTCGATATATGGACGCATTTTTTGCGTATTAGAAACGGAGTTGGCGACACTAAAACTGCAATATAATGTTTGTGTAGCAATATTACATATGACATATATTTTTTAAATGTCTCCAGTACCGATAAAAAGACCGATAACGTCGGAGCTTAACGGTACCACGGTCTTTAATAATTCAGCCCCGGGGCCCGTTTAATACCGGGGCTCGGTACCCATCCCTAAGTATTTCCTCAACAGAGTTCAAGACCTTTCAGAACATTTTTGTATTTGTCCTTATTATATTATTATATTATTATATTCTTTGGGGGAAAAAGGAACAAGCTCACTTAAACAGGAATCCTCTCACACACTGACACTCACCTATGGACGCAGGCTGCCCTTTGATGACTCCGTTCTTCGTCCTTTCTTCACATTCAAACACTTCTTTATATATAAAATCTGCAACAAACAGGAGACAACAGTAAACTACAGTAGTGAGGCTCAATGCAGACAGGGAGGCGGTCTGTACTTCACTCATGTCGACTTTCTGGGTATCACCATTTTGTCATTTTACACAACCGTGTGATTGGATGTTGCTTTACGTAGTTTCCTCACACCTGGCATCATTCATAAATGGTATATTTTACACGATTATGTATTTTTAAGGAGATAAATATGTAAGGAAAATGTTTAAATGCTAACTTCAGGGTTCATACACTTTTTCACCAATGATTTTCAATGACTTTTCCAGGACCTTTACCTTAATTTTCCATAACCAAAAACATTACTCTTTCTCAGCGTACCACAGAAAATGGTTTATTTTAACATGGAACATGAAAATAAGGTCTGCATATGAAACATGTTGGTCCTATCTAAAACAAATCCAAGAGTTAGCTTACTAGCTTCTACACGCTAAAGCCACTCAAATCTCTCACCAGTAAAACACCTCGTCAGTTAAATGCCATTTTACGTTTCATTACTATACGATACAGTATTTATTATCATTATAGTATTACTATTTCGGCGATTAGATAAAATATAAATTATATTTGATGCAACTTTAGTTACATTTCCATGACTTTTCCAAAACATTGGGAAAAATATTGCTTTCCAGGGCCTGGAATTAGCATTTTGAATTTCCGTGACTTTCCCAGGTTTTTAATGACCGTAAGAACCCTGGTACTTTCTCATGGCATTTTGTGATACTCGTTGCATTTTAGATGAAAGCAAAACACTTGTTCATACATTTGTGTTTGATACTCTGCTATATGTTAATTCTTCAGTTTCCCTGTGTTTTCTTCTGTCGAAGGCATTTTATTACATCCAAACAATCGATTTATTCGTGTGAAAATACCACAGGTTAACACTTTACAATGTACATTTGGATTTTAAATAAAGATTTGGATACAATTGCTCGGGGAGGGAAAGGTGGGGGGGTAGTCTGGGCTCATGTGCACCCTTTAAGTTGATTTATTTGTATTATATATAATATGTTGCATGTTCTTTCCCACTATGACTAAGTGTGTCATTAAGTATGGTATTCCTGTCATGCTGTGTTGGGTCTTTATTATTTCTTGTTGGCTGTTCTGTTTGTCTTCTATGTTGAAAAAGGGAAGCATGATTTCCACCCCAAAGAAGTCTGTACTATTGCTTACACTTGTATGCTTCTTCTCAATACAAATATTTGGATACTGAAAGTCTCCCAGGCTGCAGAGCACGAACACAGAGCGACGTTGTTACGCAACAGGCTGCAGAAAGACCAACGCTTCTGACAGATTTTCAGAGAGCAGCAGAGGATGTTTTTACCTTTCCACTCCTCCACCGTGTGCTCCCTCTCATCCAGCTGCTTGTCCGTGATGGCGGGCGGCGGCTGGAGAAACAAGGACAACGTTTGAGTATCTGTTTCTGTCTTTTGAACAGATTCTAAACATGGAGAAGTAACTCCACCCACATCACACTCTGTTAAATGTTCTGAAGTACTGAGAGGAAAACATCTGATTTAAAAACTGCCGTAAAAATATGATTTTTTAAATACTATTTCCCACTTTCACTAATACCTTTTAAGACCTTTTTTTAAGACACTTTCCATACATTTTAAGACCTCATCGCCACTTGGGAGTTTTAACCGGTTACCTTGGCGACACACTTTACCTCACATTGACTATATACAGTATTGATTTTCCTTCCTCCTTATCTGCCAACCATTTAGACGCAGACTTGCATTTCCCCATAACGATGTTGCTTAGCAACCGGCGTAAACGGACCTTCGTGCTATCAAGCAGTGAGCGTGCGATGTCCTGTTCAGATGACGTCAAACCCAACGGGATGCCATAAATAAACTACACAGAATCACACTACACACCTACGCCATGATTACATTCAGGCAGACTGTAGAACACAACCTCTTTGGACCATTTATATACTTATTGAAAACAAGCTACAACATGTAACACCTTGGAAAATGCCGTTTAATACTTTTTAATAGCCTTCATTTTCGCTAAATTGATTTATCAACTTTTAATACTTTTTAAGACCCCGCGGACCCGCTGTAAATATATTGACTAACTTGAGTCACGTTCATACAGTAGCTACCATATATCACTTTAAAAAATTTAAATGCCTTTTTGCTTAAACACATTTAAGCTTATAACCCTTGTGCCTCACTTTAAAATAAGAATTGTGATGTCCCGAGAAGACAAATCAGTGACACAAAACTAGCAGAAAATATGATCTATTAATATTATTTCCTCACTGAGTTCAATCTATTTACTAACTAGAGTCACATTCATAGCTACCATATATCACTTTTTAACCATTTAAATGCCAATGTATCCACATAATGCACCTTACGGAAACAACTGAATCATTTCTGCCTACTCAATTCTACGGGATTCTTTTGTTTAGTGTTGGATAAGTCAATCATTAGCAGCCACACTGATTTAGACGTATTTTTTATTATTTTGAGAGACTCTCAGTATTTCTGAATGTGAGGCTGAGCTTCAGAGTGATTTGCGTCAGTGAGCTTGATGCATGTTTCCATTCCCGCTACAGCAGATAAACGAGGAGTAAAACGGGAGAAACGGTGCTGCAGTATCTCCAAACTGAAACCTACAGACTCAGCGTATTGGAAACTGCTGCATTAAAGCCTCCTCTCACTAAATCCACTTAATGCTGAGTAGCTCTGCAACGTTTTTCAGGGAAATAGGAAAAAACCTTAAATGTATAGCATGCACAGAGCTGAACCTGCGACGGCATCGATGTGAGGCAGATAATAAAACCCTGTGTACTAATCTGCACTTCTCAAGGCTGTGCTGGGTTTTCTGAAGACTGCTTTCAGAGGAGAGGCAGCAACAAATTAGGGCTGAACGATATATCGTGTCATGGCGATAGCCGCATGCACGATATTCACATCGCAGGGACGTGCGATTTTATTCATTTATTTTTTAGGACGTGTGATATTAAGTAGACATTAACTCAAACACGTCATGTTACAATTATTTTGCTGCTTGCTACAAAAGGAAAACTTGCGCGGCTCTCATGTCAGGGGTACTTGAGTGAGTGACATGCAGGCTCTGCATGCACAACCAATGACAATCATTCTTGATCAGATCACAGCAGGCCCCGCCCCGCTAGTTTGCAGACCATCAAAACACCGGTAAAAAATGAGCGAGGCACAGGAGGACAATACCGGCGAGAACGAAGATTTACTTCCAAAAAGAAAAGCAACATCTAACTGTACGGAGGCTCAGTCACTGGTACTTTTTCATTTACAAAGCCATGTTGGATAAACTACCATCTTATATCTGCTCCTTGATCTCTCTGCGAATTGAAAGTACTTATTGCCTGAGATCGCATGCTGTGGGTTTATTAAATGTGCCAAGTGCTAGGACTGTCTTAGGGAAGAAAGCTTTTAGATGTGCAGCTCCACTAACATGGAACAGTCTGCAAAAAGAATGGAGAATTACCAAGCTAGTACCACTACATGTTTTTAAAGCTCGGTTGGATGCTACTCAATCAGATGCTGTTGGTACCTGTACATGTGGTTAAATATGTAAATTGTAATCCCTGTACATTTTGCTGTATGATGTCCTTTTGTTGTTCTGTTGTTTATGTGTTTATGTCTTCTTGTGGAACCTACTGCTGCAGGTCTCCCTTGAAAAAGAGATCATTGATCTCAATGGGATTTTACCTGATAAAGAAAGGTTTTGAATTGAATTGAATCTGCCATCTGGAACTATTTTGGATACAAAAAGGTTCTTCTCGTCTTCATTCACAGATGAACCCCTTTATTTGAGGGTAAGCAAAATGCATTATCATGACATGTTAACCAGTTAAGATCCAGACGTCCGTGACTAAAATCTTTCATCCGGTTAAATATAGTTAAAAAAAACGCAATATATATCGCAGGGGAAAAAAATATCGCAATGTCAGTTTTTTTCAATATCGTGCAGCCCTACTACAAATGATCTCAAATCCGTCTGATCACAGGATAAACCGCTTTGCTCCGTCTTTGTGTTTCCAGAGAGAGGTGGATTGTCACCAAACAGGCAGAACATTTTGCATTCAGATTTTAACACAAAAAGGGAACTAGGGTTTTACAGTTTTTGGTTTTAAGGTGGATTTTTTTTATTTTGAAGGCAAGGAGTCATAGATTAAATAGATTGTATTCATTGTGTCATTAATTCGTTAAATTAGAACACATGAGGTAAATATATGTGTTATTTGATATTGTATTTATTCCCTGTACAGGAATTTGGTCAACTGAGGTTGTTTTAAATGTGCTATATAAATACATAAAGATTGAGATTGAGATATATAATAAGATAACATTACAATAAATATATCCAGATAAGCAGTAGAACATATATACATCTATAGAGTACATCAATACAATACACAGCTTAAAATATAGACCAATCTTCTACTGAAAACATCTAGAAACTAAGACACTATATATATTATAAAAGCTTAATTAATTAAGACATACATTGCCGTTTTAATGCAGGGAGGAAACTATTATTTATGTTGACAGTGAAATACATTACATTGGTTGTATTTAACATCCATTCATTGGGCTGTACTCACCGCCTCCACCTCAGTCGGGTCGTACCACACGTTGATGTAGGGGTGCTGCAGGGCCTCGTCCACTGAGATCCGCTTTGAGGCGTCGATCACCAGCATCTTGCAGAGGAGGTCCCGGGCCTGGCTCGCTGAGGAGGGGTTAGGAAAAGAGAAAAGGGTAAACGTTAAGGTTTGATTAAAGGTCACCTATTATGCAAAATCCACTTCTCCATGTCTCTTCTACATCAACATGTGTCCCCTCTTCTTCATGTCTCTTCTACATCAACATGTGTCCCCTCTTCTTCATGTCTCTTCTACATCAACATGTGTCCCCTCTTCCTCATGTCTCTTCTACATCAACATGTGTCCCCTCTTCTTCATGTCTCTTCTACATCAACATGTGTCCCCTCTTCCTCATGTCTCTTCTACATCAACATGTGTCCCCTCTTCTTCATGTCTCTTCTACATCAACATGTGTCCCCTCTTCTTCATGTCTCTTCTACATCAACATGTGTCCCCTCTTCTTCATGTCTCTTCTACATCAACATGTGTCCCCTCTTCTTCATGTCTCTTCTACATCAACACGTGTCCCCTCTTCCTCATGTCTCTTCTACATCAACATGTGTCCCCTCTTCTTCATGTCTCTTCTACATCAACATGTGTCCCCTCTTCTTCATGTCTCTTCTTCATCAACATGTGTCCCCTCTTCTTCATGTCTCTTCTTCATCAACACGTGTCCCCTCTTCTTCATGTCTCTTCTACATCAACACGTGTCCCCTCTTCTTCATGTCTCTTCTACATCAACACGTGTCCCCTCTTCTTCATGTCTCTTCTACATCAACACGTGTCCCCCTCTTCTTCATGTCTCTTCTACATCAACACGTGTCCCCTCTTCTCATGTCTCTTCTACATCACACTGTCTCTTCTTCATGTCTCTCTACATCAACACGTGTCCCCTCTTCTTCATGTCTCTTCTACATCAACACGTGTCCCCTCTTCTTCATGTCTCTTCTACATCAACACGTGTCCCCTCTTCTTCATGTCTCTTCTACATCAACATGTGTCCCCTCTTCTTCATGTCTCTTCTACATCAACATGTGTCCCCTCTTCTTCATGTCTCTTCTACATCAAACATGTGTCCCCTCTTCTTCCATGTCTCTTCTACATCAACATGTGTCCTCCTCTTCTTCATGTCTCTTCTACATCAACATGTGTCCCCTCTTCTTCATGTCTCTTCTACATCAACATGTGTCCCCTCTTCTCCATGTCTCTTCTACATCAACATGTGTCCCCTCTTCTTCATGTCTCTTCTACATCAACATGTGTCCCCTCTTCTTCATGGTCTCTTCTACATCAACATGTGTCCCTCTTCTTTCATGTCTCTTCTACATCAACATGTGTCCCCTCTTCTTCATGTCTCTTCTACATCAACATGTGTCCCCTCTTCTTCATGTCTCTTCTACATCAACATGTGTCCCCTCTTCTCTCCATGTCTCTCTTCTACATCAACATGTGTCTCCTCTTCTTCATGTCTCTTCTACCTCACATGTGTCCCTCTTCTTCAATGTCTCTTCTACATCAACATGTGTCCCCTCTTCTCATGTCTCTTCTACATCAACATGTGTCCCCTCTTCTTCATGTCTCTTCTACATCAACATGTGTCCCCTCTTCTTCATGTCTCTCTTATACATCAACATGTGTCCCCTTCTTCTCCATGTCTCTTCTACATCAACATGTGTCCCCTCTTCTCCATGTCTCTTCTCCATCAACATGTGTCCCCTCTTCATCCATGTCTCTTCTTCATCAATTCATTTCTCCATGTCTCGTCTACATCAACATGTGTCCCCTCTTCTTCATGTCTCTTCTACATCAACATGTTTCCCCTCTTCTTCATGTCTCTTCTACATCAACATGTGTCCCCTCTTCTTCATGTCTCTTCTACATCAACATGTGTCCCCTCTTCTTCATGTCTCTTCTACATCAACATGTGTCCCCTCTTCTTCATGTCTCTTCTACATCAGCATGTGTCCCCTCTTCTTCATGTCTCTTCTACATCAACATGTGTCCCCTCTTCTTCATGTCTCTTCTACATCAACATGTGTCCCCTCTTCTTCATGTCTCTTCTACATCAACATGTGTCCCCTCTTCTTCATGTCTCTTCTACATCAACATGTGTCCCCTCTTCTTCATGTCTCTTCTACATCAACATGGTCCCCTCTTCTTCATGTCTCTTCTACATCAACATGTGTCCCCTCTTCTTCATGTCTCTTCTACATCAACATGTGTCCCCTCTTCTTCATGTCTCTTCTACATCAACATGTGTCCCCCTCTTCTTCAATGTCTCTTCTACATCAACATGTGTCCCCTCTTCTTCATGTCTCTTCTACATCAACATGTGTCCCCTCTTCTTCATGTCTCTTCTACATCAACATGTGTCCCCTCTGTGGAAAGAGACTCTGAAAGTTTCAGGAACAAAGATTCTCTCTCTTTTTGATCCATTTCTATAAAAACCTGTCTGAAAATGAACTGATCAGATTTTGGCCACTTTATGATGTCATAACGATGTGTTGTCTTGCGTAACCATTAGCCAATCAGCAGCCAAGGCCATATGTGAACATCTACAATCTGCAGTTTAACAGAAGCACTTCAGGGGAATACACTGTTTTAAAATAATCTTGCCTTTGTAAATGAATGAGGACAGAAAGATATGTTCCCCCTGCGTCCTCATGGTGTTTGCTGGGAGTGTTCCCGTCATCTCCTCTCCATTTACACACCCGGGCTGCAGTCGAATAGTCCAACAATCAGCTCCTATTGTCTAACCCTATCTCCTATTCCTTGACCTCTGAGTGAAACGTCACGGGGTTAAGGGATAGTGGATAGGAGAATTCAAAAGGACTTAGGAGAAGAGACTGCAGTACTTTAGAGAATCCGAATGCACTTTCACTTTCCGACGTGTTTATGATGCGCCAGCGGACGTCATTGTGAGCGTCTGCTGCTGTGGGGAAACTATGGAAACTACAGTTTTCTATACAGCGGACTACAACATGGATGTTTAATAAGAACGAGGGACTCCTGTGAACTCATCTAGAGACTCTGCACCGTGCTCTGATGCTGTTGCTTTATGCTTTATGAACGTGGACAACAGAGAAACATATTCTTCAGGACCAAAGCTGGAATTAAAATAAAAAAGGAAAGTGAAGCTTCTGCTCGTCACACTCTCCCTCCGGTCCACATTAATACAAATGATCCCAATACGTATGATTGTATGAAAAGATCTTAAAATCAATACAAATGTATTTATTATAAACGTTAGTCCTTAACATCTATCTCTGTGTATATCACCATTCAAACATCTTTTAAAAGTTGAACAAACTCCACACAGCTCAGTAAAGACTGTGAGATGTTGACTTTATTTGATCATTTCAGTAAAAACTAACGTTCATATTTCTCTCTTTGATTATAATACTGATGAACGTTCAAAACAAAGCACTTTGGCAACTTACCACATACGTTTTAAAATACTTAATAAGCACCGTAACTTTCATGATATAATTTCTCCGTCATAATCGGTTGTTTCCGTGAACGGCCGACTGTTGAGTGACGGCAAATGCTGCGGCTGCAATGCATTGTGGGGCAGCATTTTCTCCTCTCCTTTTGGTTAGGGAGGTCCAGTGGTTCCTAAGCTAAAGGAGGTTATAAAGGAAGTTAGAAACCTCCTTTCCTTTCATGTAGAGAATTGGAACGGCACTTATCATGGCTGCCACTGAGGGACTTCCGGGTCATTTCACTCCGTTAGGAAGGTTCCTAAGCTAAATGGACTATTCGACTGCAGCCCAAGACACGCTTGAGGTGAATTCCTCTCAGCCGTAAACAACTTTTTCCTCAGCTGTCAGCTCCTGTAATAAGTGCTTAATCTTTAGGCAGCCAACGAAAATTGATTTGTCACTCGGGCTTTGCTGTCAGCGGATGTTTGTGAAGATGCAAAATCAAACTGATGCTATGAGAAGTTCATATTTTAGGGCTTTGCAAGTGTGTGGAGACATCATAACGAGCCACCATTGAACCATTATAATCCTTCAAATGACAAAAAAGCCATTTAAAAAGTCCACCCTGATAAAGTCGACATTAGCACAAAAAACCCCAGCTTTATTGAGTCTTTTGTCCATTTTTTTAGGCAGTAAAACGGAAACATACGGTGGAAATAAAACTCATTACTCCTCACACCGTCAGGATGTGATAAAAAAAAAGTGAATTTAAATGTTACAATGGTTCCCCTTCAGGCTGGACCATTTCTGCACCTGGCAGAGAGGAACTATTCCCCAAAATATGGTTTTAACTTTTAGCAGGAGCTACATTTACAGCCTCACACCCATCTCTAATCTTCTAGTGCTTTCAGTAAGTCCTCACAGGATTAGTTCCTGGGCTTTAACCCTTACGTACCCCTAGGGACTTGTTTGGGTTCTCCATATTTCATCAATCATGGCTTTTTTTAAATGCATATTGAACACATGTTTGGCCTTTTTCTTCTTGTATCTTTGAAGTCTCAGCTCCTATAATAACTCTAAAATGACTTGTATTTAAACTACAGACACTAAGACCTCTGTGGGGGAAACCTCTGAAGCAATGGGAGTCAGGAATCAGTAGGGGTGTAACGGTTCACAAACATTTCGGTTCGGTACGTACCTCGGTTTTTTGTTCACGGTTCGGTTCGGTACGTTTTCTGTACAGCAGAATTTTTTTTCACAAAACAAAACATATATATATATTTTTTTATTATTATTATTAAACTGTGAATAATGTATTCACTCAAATAAATACAAAATATAATAAAATGAACATTAAGGTGCAGCATTTCGATGAACTGAAATAATCTGTATTTGAACTGTACTAGCACCTAAGCAGCCAGTTTGACATTAGGACTTGCTTGTCATTGTATTCATGTTGTTTAAAGAACGATGAACTTGTCCACATTGCTTGCCGAAAGGGCAGATCTGCTGGCACTAACAATGTCTCTTGCTGTGGAGAACACCCTCTCTAGGGACAGTGGCAGCAGATACAGCCAGGTAGCGCTTTGCTAACATGGCAACATAAGGATATTTGGCGTTTGTAATAGCTTTGGCTCGGTCTGAACTCTCTGCGAGTGGTGGAGGCTTAAATGCTAGTGGGAGTTGGGTTTGAACTTCAGTCTTTTTTCTTTTGGTACCGGTGATATTCACGTTCGGGTGATGCCTTTTCAAATGAGTGTGCAAGTTTGATGTATTGCCAGCCGCGTAACCAATGTTAGTTGAACAATGCCGACAAACAGCTTTGGTTCGGTCCACCTGTCTTTGTCCGTCATCCTTGTTCGTAACTGCGAAACCAAAATGTTCCCAAACCGGAGACTTCAGTGATGCTGGAGGATTTTTGAGCTCAACTTTATCTGCGTTCGCCATTTCGACAGTTCCTCAAATTACTGACTACATTTGAACGCATCCCTCTAAATGTGAGCAAATTACTCTGAATGCTGCGACTTTTTGTTGTTGTTCAGGAGTTGATCCGCCCCTGCCCCCGCCTCGACGTTAGCGTGACGTATGCGGTGCTTTTGCTCTAGCCGGACAATTTTTTGGTGCTTGAAACGAACCGGATTCCGGAGCTAAGAGGCTGCTCCGCTGCGGTGTGAACAGGAAAACCCGGTGCTTTTCAAGCTCCAGCTCCGAACCGGCCTTGAAACACCGTTGGTGTGAATGAGGTAAGAGAGACACGAGGAGAGCTGGAGCTTTGATGGCAAATACTGACGGTTCATTTGGAGCTTCGGCCGGAGAATTCACCAGACATGCCACGGGCCACACGGTTGGGATGCCACAATCAATCCTGAAGAGCCCTCCTGCAGCTCCAGGTTTGAACTATCAGAGTGTAATAATCTACATTCTTCCATAGATAGACTGAACAGCTGAGGACACTGAATCACATCTGTTGTCGCTTATGGCTCGGGGTCATCTACACCCCGAGAAGGATGTGTTCCAGGTGTCCCACAGCAATAACTATCTCTGACGGAGAGTTGCCCGGCCACAAACTGGTAACAACAACAAAATGCTTGGGCATCTGCGTCAGAGGGCAAAAGGCAAACCTGTATACAGAATTATTCCCTGACAGTTTAAAGACAATAATGTCCCCATTGATGCCCATTAAAAACCAACGGTTGAGACATTTTCCTATGTTTGTCCTATGGAACGACTACATGCCATTTCCTGAGTTTAACTACAGTATGTGTTTAATTATTATCAAGCACTTTTGTTTTTGGAAGGAAATTAAAATGATGTAAATTGTATTGATTCATTTATCGATTAAATTAAACAGAAAATAAATTAAAAGCAAAATATTTAATATTATTATATAACTTTTGGGGTAAAATGGAAAATTACGTAAAACATTGAAATATTGAAAGAAGGGTATTTATCCCTTAGTGTCTCAGTAAAATTAAATATATATAATAAACTATCAAATTAATAATAAAAAACTCAAATTGATTGAAAACGAAAGGGGAAAAAAAGGAAAATATTGATACGTCAGTTTTTAACCACAGATATGATTTTTTAAGAGCAACTAATTGCACCTAAATATACCTTTACAGCCAATCAGAAGTATTAGAGAGTGGTAAAAGTACTGTACTTACACAACCCTGGTGTAAACGATGTATGCACGATGGTTAATAGCGAGACAGCCTCATGCTTACCTTTGAGTTTGTTGTGTTCAGAGTCTGCAGGAAACAGCACGTCGGGGAAGAGCTTCTCGAAGCTGTAGCCTGCATATCGAGGTCTGTTCTCCACGTAGGTCCTCACCGATTGGTTGAGCTTCATCAGGAACTCCTGAGACGGCGTTCCCAGCTGTTCGATCACCTTGTTCCACTGGTCGATATCTTCATGGTCAGGGTTAAGAGAACAACTGCACTGGGTTTGGACTAAAGGGGCCGACTTTTCAGAGTCGAGGAAGGTCATTTTTAGCAACATTTTCAACTAATGTAGAATAAAAGAGAGCCATTTGGTGACTTTCTTGCACTGCGTTGTCATTTAGAAGATTTGGTGACAGGCCTGTTTGTTATTGACTTAAAAGTAAAAGAGATAGCTTCAATTCAAACCTGTGGAATCAGAATGGACACAACACAAACTTAAAAAGGTGATGTTTACCTCAAGTAATCCAGATGTTGGAAATACTGTATGTATGCAGAACAGAAACACACACATACATACAGATGTACAGATCTACCTGGAGGACTAATACAGTCATGCCTTGTTCACATCTCTTCTCATCGTTAACACTGAATGAACAACAATGAGGAAAATCCTGTTTTTCCGCAACAGATTTTCGTCCATAACCGATTTTATAAGCTATTTTTGAAAAGCGATCGATTCTGCTTGTTGACGGGTATTTACATGGTTCGAAAAAGTAATTATTCATATATTTAAATCCACTCAATGCGGTCCTGTCAGAAGGTGAACATTAGAGAATCATGATGGTAGCAGATGAACAGACACTGATTTTTTTTTGCTGATGAAATACCGTTTAAACAACCACCAGCATGTCCTTGCCGGTCAGAGAACATTTTGAACCGCTTAGAGACGTCCCGCCCCTTAGCCTATCACGGACAATGTGTTGGAGCGCTAGCCAATAGGAGCGGATGTTACGAAAGGTAAACAAAGAAGTCCAATGGAGGTGTATCAGGCAGTGTGTGGGAGAGAAACTCCTTCTGAAGGGAACACTGGGATTTTAGCCTCTGCAGACCATTTACAAATCTATATAACACACTACCGGAAAGGGAACACCCCAAAGAGCAGAATAGGGCCTCTTTGAATATTTCAAGCGTACATAACCACGGAGCGCTGTCAGGGCTTTAAGTGCTATTGTAGCTAATTTTTTAAGATGATGTACCGACCATACTTGCCAACCCTCCCGATTTTCGCGGGAGACTCCCGATTTCATTGCCCTCTCCCGGTTTCCTCCCGGGGTCATATTTCTCCCGATTTATGACAAAATCAGATTTACTCAGGACTGTTTCCACTCGGACTTTAATACAGCTACACCATTGTTTGGTTTTCCATGGTAGCGCGTCTCTTTAGTAGCGCGCGCAACTGACAGTCTGAGAGGGTGAGGAAGATATATCACAGAAAACAGAACAAGAATCGACAACTCGACCCTCTGCTCACTTCTTTCCTGTAAAATACAGGTCCAGCACACATGCTCCATCAAGGATGGTGCTTCAGGCCGCAAGGCAGTGCACTTACAACTACAATAAGCATGTTAATGTTAATCTAGTAGGCTACAGCTCCGGCGATCCACTAGCACAGCACCCCCCCCCACGCCGCGGTGGTTTTGAAATTCTCCTGATTTCTGAGGTCTCAAGGTTGGCAAGTATGGTACCGACTGTGTCTATTAACGCTCTCTAGTCAGTATCGGCACGGCAGGAGAGTATGTAAATGAACCTATATGGGTGATTTCTACAGTGTCTGCTTCACTCAGCTTCTTGATCGTACAAAAAAAAATCGCCTGTCTTTTTAATCCTTGTTTTGTACAAAAATAATATCCTACTATTTTTGTTTTTATAAATGTTTGCGAAAGGATTTCAATAAACTTTCCAAAATGCTAATTCCCTCTGATATGGCAATCACAAAAACAGTGAGAAATAATCTTCAATGGTTATTTTGGCAGAATCGATCAGCCCTAACGGTAAGCGACTATTCGCCGATGTTAATTGTGAAATAAATGCATTTTCGAGTGTGAACACGATGTCTCGCTCGGCAGGTTTTCCCCATTGTGTGAAACGATATGAACAAGATGTCAGACAGAAGGATGAGAGACATGGGGTGTTTCTCGATGTCAAGGAAGGATGCTCCAGAGCCACTATTTCAAGGATGCTACGTCATCGAGTGCCGCCGAATAACTGTTCCAATGTCCAGGATGCTTGGAATTCTACCGAGCCCGGCGTCCTTCGTAGCGAGACATTTCGAGGCTGGCATTCTTCGTTCTCCGAATGCCAGGAAGGATTCTTGCCTCGCTTCTGAAGGAAGTGACTCGGAAGACATGTGCTACCAAGGAAGCGTCCTCGACATTGAGAAACACCCACGGACTGCATTTAGGGTTTTTTTTTTTTTGGATGGAGGTTCAACGTAAGGATACGATCAGTGCCTGGAAACAACACACTACCCCGGACCATTTCAGCCATGATGCAGCCAACAGACCAGACATCAACTGAAAAATGAAATGACAAACCACCAAATTAGCATGCAGGACAGGAAGACAAACTGAAATAATAACTCCAAAAACATAAACAACATAACGGAAGGGAAAATTATAAATAAACAAAAACATGATGTGGGGCCAGGTGATGTGTTTGATACATGACAGAAATGAATTGCATGCAGTTGAGTGCACTCATTGACCTCGGTCAGCGTCCCAGGAAGAAGTAAATTGTATTTGACGTGACATTACGATGTTTACACTGAAATCGAATGGAAGAACTTATTAAATAATGTTTAAGATTGTTTCTGCAGCAGGTTGATTGAATGGTGAATCCTTTGCAGATGCATTTTAACTCCCTCTGTATCCTCACTGCAATTCATATAACTTGTACGTTCTACTTCGACAAATCCACCTGAGAGATTATTCATATTCTCCCAATTTTTCTAGATCAGAAGGCAGATTTTTTTTGTGTTATTCTGGGGAACAATTTATCTTTTTGTGCGACTGTTGCTATGGCTTTTTACAAAGGCATATGGAGAGCAGTTTGAGGATACACAAGCGTATGTTATGCAAGATCTCAACTATGAACGAGCAACCTTTCAATTCTATTTCCGTTTCTTTTTCATGTGACTGTCTTGAAGCTGCAGTGCAGGTGCTGAAATGGGTGTGTGTGTGTGTGTGTGTGTGTGTGTGTGTGTGTGTGTGTGTGTGTGTGGTGTGTGTGTGTGTGTGTGTGTGTGCATGAAGAGCAGGTGGGTGGCTGTGATTCGAGGTGTCAGGCAAATCTGAGAAATAGAACGACTCTCGTTGCTCACAGGATTTGATCTCCGTGCGATCCGGCAGATGAAAAGAAAAGAAAGGGAATAGCTTGAAGAGATGAAAGACGTTTCGGTGCTACGTTGTTTTTCTTTCAGGAGAAATGCCAGACACTGCTGCAAGCAGCTCAAGGATACAATCCCTTCCTGGAAAAAGGATTTTGTGGCGAACCATTTCTGCCATAATGCAGCCCACAGCCCAAATATCCACTACATGTGCGCAGCGTAAAAAGGAGGGAAAAGAGAATAAGCAAAAGAATGCAACAAGTCAGCAGGAAAAATTAGTTTTGGTGAAGAGGAGGAAGGACAAGAGAGTAAAGGAACTCTCCTGAGTTTGTTATAATAGGAGCTTTATTGCTATATATCGACCTAATGATTTCTGTACAAAAGTTATTCTCTGAGTTCTTTAAAAGTCCAAAAATCTACATTTGCTTAATTACTATTATGCATCTAAGCTGATACCTTCCTATCTGCGTGGCTACTGGAGCCTTCGTCATGTTTTTATCGAAGGGAATTGAACATTTCAGTCAGTATGATTGTTCGAGAATTGGATAGAAAGGCTGAAACCACTCGTGTGTCTGTATGCTAAATATGAAACTATAGAGAATTAGCTTAGCTTAGCATAAAGACTGGGAACAGGGATAACCAGCTAGCATGGCAGCCATTATTTACTCTAGCTTCATATCTAACAAACAGACATGAGTGGCATCAGTCTTCAAAACCAATTAATGGCAACTAATCATATTTCTTAAAATGTTCGACTATTCCTTTATTACAATTTTGCCTAAACTGTGACAGGAGCACCAAGAGAAACTGCTGAGTCATGCACAAGTCACTGTTTTTAAAGCCAGGCTGTATGGAGCGCAGGACCGGCAGCCTCTTAATAAAACATCAAACGCATGCTGAAGCGCTGCTGGGAACTGGAGTCCCCCGACAGGAAGTTTCCCACAATGCACCTCTGCCCAACATGCCAACTTCCCCGGACCCCTTGAGTGTGACATTTACAGGAACAGTGAGTATGTGAGAGTGTGTGTGCTGAAAAACATCCCATGCAGCAGGCCAGGCAGTAGCTTTCGGAGCTCCTCATTGGTCGCTGAGAAGGAGCTGCTTCTTGTACTCACCGTTGGCCTGGTAACCCATGCCCAGGATGACTTCGGGGGCGCGGTAATATCGGGTCACAACGTAGGGCGTCATCAGGAGGCCGGTGGCGGCGGTTCGGGCCAAACCGAAGTCCAGGATCTTCAGCGTGCAGTCGGACTTCACCACGATGTTGCTGGGCTTCAGGTCCTGACAGGAAACACAGAAGATTCAAGACTTTTATAGAGTGGAGCAGTGACGAGTCCTAAAACCCGGAAGTGAGTCAGCATTTCAGCACTTCCTGTTCCCTCATCTCAGAGCCAATGGGATCTCTCCTTAGGATTTTGGAAAATAGCTGAAATCAGGTCTGTGGTTGAAACACATTGAAGAGACGGATCACGTTTTGTTCTACGACATTAAATCCATCAGCAGTGACCCCACTGGTGATTTCTGAAGAGTTGACGTGTCTGAAAAACGATGGTTGTTACCAAGTGGCTGAATAGGACTACAGAAGTTGTCGAGGCCGTTGTACGTCATTACGACGAACACGTGAACACTCCTCTAAGTTAGTTTCTGTTCTGCTTGAAAGCAAGTACCTGCCTCCTGCAGACTGTTCAAACAAACACTTCAACTTCAACCATTTTGAATCTGTATTTTTGAATATGGATCTTGAGTTGGCGTGACGTTGAAGCAGCGACCCTGCTGTAGTTCCTTTATAGCATAACGTTAGCATGTAGCTTCCGGTGACTAGATTTATGATTCGAAAATTATTATGTGGATATTATCCGGCTGAACAAAACGTGCATTTATCAAACAGGTTCGTTTTCCACAGACCTTATTTCGAGCTATTTTCCAAAACCCTGTGGAGAAATCCCGTTGCTTTTTTGTCGAGGGAACCAGCAGCTTCCTTCCGGATAAATACGTCATCCCTGCACCACTCTGTGTCATTTGTACATAGCTACAGTGTAGTTATGTCAATGAAGATCTTAGGTCGTAACGGAAAGAACAACCTTCTCTATGAGGTTCCAGGAACTTAAATTTGAGGACATTTGGGAGAAATGACCCCGATACGCCCTTCTTTTGTTTAATGATCTATACTGTCAATGTTTTATATTGAAAAGAAAACACCCCATGTTCTTCTTGTGTGATTATTGTTGTTGTTTTGTCAAGAAAAAAGAAAAAAGACGGACCACTCTGTAAAACTATTTTACACTGAAGCTGAAATGTGATCCAAAACAAAAAATATAAAAATCTGAGGTCACAGGCTCCTCCAACAGAGCAACACAATAAAACAGATAAAATAGTGCAAGTAAATACAATCAAATAGAATAGAATAGAAATAGCACAAGAATAGTCTATATACAGCAGGGACAGAGTTAAAGGGCTTGTTGAGACTGAGGGACAGTGTGTCTGAACGTTTCTTACTTTTAATGTAGATATAAAATACATTTCACAATGGAAATACATTATGTTGGTTAAAATACACTAATTAAAATAAGAAATGGCCTGGGATTGAACATGATATGATTCTGCTCTAAATGGAGAATGGAAAAGGTTTGACATTTTAAATCTAAGAATATTATTGTATTTACCTACTCTCCTTATTGCCTGTTGTTCTTATGAGTTTAACTTAGCTAACATCAAAGTCAACTGAAAAACGAAACTTACATTTTCACTTTAGATCAGAGATATCATTTTCCCACGGTTGCAAAATTCAACAGCAATTTTTTTAATGGAAGAAATAACAAACACGACCTAATAAAAAAAACATGCCGATTTACAGAAGCACGTTGCCAATAAACTACATGTCCCACAATGCATCTCAAATGTTTACTTTTTTCTCCGAATGTTACTTTTTTTTCAAAATGTCACTTCATTTTTTTTCAGAATTTGGCTTTTCTTTTAAAATCATTTTGTGACATTCTCACTGAAGAGACTTGCAATTATTTGCCCTAGACTTCTTCTTTCAGACGTAGTTAATTATGAAGTTATTACCCTATCCGAAAAAAATCCAATGCAGAGGGAATAATGTAATATAATACGTTATTTTATATATATTAAATATTTATATATGTATTTTTATATAGTCTTAAAGTTACAACCGGCCCTTTGAGTGCAACCATAATGTTAATGTGGCCCAAGATGACATTTAGTTTGACCCCCCTGCCTTAGGACATAATATGCCTGAAAGTTATCTGCATAAAACATGACATTATCAAGCAATTCTTTTTTTTTGCATTTGGAAGTGCATCATATAAAACATTAAAATACTTGATTTAAGTCCATTTAAACTTTTTTTTAAATTATTATTATTATGTGACTATGTCCAATTTAGAAAATAAAACATTTTCTCACTGGAAATCCATTCTAAGTTGGTTTGAAATACACATTTTAATTGTAAATGGCCTGAGATTAACCATTGGACATTAAACAATTGTCATACAAAAACAACTACCGACTGAGAAGTGGCTTCAAAGTGTTTGGTTTCCTTTTGGTAGCATTTTTTTATTCCATCGTTATTTTCCAGCTCTGCAGGAAGACACAACGAGCTCTGACTCTAATTGTCTCCGTTAGTCTCCTGATGACGCTCTGAACTTCCCTGATGCATGACAAAAACAAAAGAGATTTTAAAATGCTTTTCCTTTGAAGAGGAAGTTTGTTTTCCCTCTGCTGAGGGTAATCCTCACAGGACTCAGTGCCTGTTGCTAGGGTTTGCCAATGTGCATCTGCCTATTGAGATATTACAGACGTCATTTGCAAGCTGTGAGTTTCAGGGTGACAAGTTGGTGGTAGATTAGAAATGTCAACTCTTATTAATCATGATCACTCCCTGGTATAGAGAATTAATCAAAATACTTAAAAATGCCCAAGGACAACTCAATCAAACACTTAATCCAGTCATTTAAAATGCCATCTCAAAAGAAAACACATATAATTAAATGTCAGACTTGAACAGATGTTCCTGGTTTAAGTCTGGTAAATAGTGGCTAACAGAAACACTGCAATGAGACGTGTAGCAGTGGCGGTAAAGTCCCTAGATCTCCCAGGAAGTGAGCAGGTCATTAAAGAACATTTTCATAGTGGCCAAAAAGGGGTACTTTGATTACCGTGATTAAGGCGAGACACGGCAGGCAAAAACATCGTTTTTCAAGTACTGGTCAATTTTGAGATTTTGTGCTATTTTGATTCCATAACATGTTTTCTTTCAGGCTTTTGGAAGGAAAACGTACAAAATACACATTTAAGTGTTTATGTTACTATAGTTGGTCTATTTGCGTCTGTATATTTCTCCTAAATTCACCAAAAGTTAGCATTCTAACGTAACATAAAGTACCGCGACCGCTGTGTGCACCATGTCAACAGAGGTATCGCTGGAAAGCTCCGTCTCTCCTGCACAATCTCATCGGATCCAAATATGGTCATTTCCTTTGTATCAGCAACCAATCGTGAAAGCACAAAGGGGTCTTAAACCAAGAAACGAAATCTCATTGGCTGGTGTAAATTTCTGACAACGTGATTCGTTCAGATGCGTCACGTGGTGTGCTAAAACACTTCCTGGTTAGCTTTCAGCTAGAAATTGAAATCTCAAAATGGCAAAAGAACGGCGAAAAAAACGTTCACAGAGAAGACGACAACAATTGTCACTTGCACGAAGCAAGGTTATATAAAACACAAATGACCCCGAACATGAAATACCTTCACGGAGTGCGTCGATGCGCAAGCTGTCATCCAAAGAACAGGAGGGTTTAGCTAGCGCCTCACTGCAATCTTTAAAGGTCGTTTTCTCAAAATGAGCTTTTTCTCCTACTCTGAGTTCGAAATTTCAACTTCAGTAGCACGTACATAAACCAAACCTTCCAGTTATATTCCTATCAATATTATGAAGGCTTTTACAGAAGGGTTTGTTCATATATAATTCATAGCCTGAATTATACAACATTGTATACCTAAAAACATGGCGAAAATTGATATTTTAGGGCTGTTGACAGTATTTTCTGATTTATGGAATGATAAAAAGAGATATCCAATATCCCTTCTGTAAAAGCCTTAGATACTAATATGACTACAAAATGAAACAAGAATTTTGAATCTGGCTATATCCAAAGTTCAGATTTCGATTCCTGAAATGTGTTAAAATATGTGCATATTTAATGAGATAATGGGTAATTTGCATATTTAAACATGCTATTTCAGAAAACTTGTAATACAAAAGACAATTGCCTTATTGTAAGTAATTAACTGGAGAAATTTCTAGCTGATACCTTTAAGTTAAAAAAATTACCCTATTCACCTGGGGTGTCTCGCCTTAAGTGATGCAATTGGGACCAAAACAACATTTTCCCATTGACTAACATTGGGAAACAGACATTGTTCAGCTACATCAACTACCCACTACGAACATTTGAATACATCTTATTCAAATCGTAAGGTCCTTAAAGATGGAAAATGCTCTAAAAGCCAAATCCAGATGTATATCCCCACCTCCATCAGTTTAAATGAGCTAAGATCGAGCTTAACGATGCTGTAAGGGGACAAATTGGAGGCGGGGCTTAAGGAAAACACAAAAGCACATACTCTAAGATACAGGTTTTCTTGCACTCGAGTGATTTTGTCTTCATGCGAAACTGTGCACATTTCAGAGGTATAAATGGTGCCCAGGCTATAACGTTGTATTCCAGTTCTGCTTTTTCCATCCATGCTTAGCAACTCTGAGCATCTTAAGGACAACGACAGAGCTCCCATCGGAGAGGTAAAGCCTCCGGGAACACAGGAGCTGAATCTTTGGCGACCCATGACTCATGTTGCATGTGTTACCTTGTGAAAGCTTCGTGCTAACGTTAGCTTCGCCTGTGGCTCAGTTACTTCTGGCTGGCAGAGCAGGAGGAGCTAATCTACTGCTGGGTCCTTACTCTGGAAGGTGTGTGTGTGTGTGTGTGTGTGTGTGTGTGGTGTGTGTGTGTGTGTGTGTGTGTGTGTGTGTGTGTGTGTGTGTGTGTGTGTGTGTGTGTGTGTGAGTTCATTTATTAAACACTTCTAGGACTGGTATAATGAGGGGACCTTATGTAATTCATTTGAAACACCCTTATGCAAAGCTTTTAATACTCATTTTAGTCTAGACCGCTACCTTATTATGTTAATTCTTTAGAGCGAATGAAATCATGTTGATTACCAAGTTGCCATCCTCTATGTTAGTATATTTTCCCTCTGCCTGTATCAGTCCAACCCATTATGCTGTGTGTGTGTGTGTGTGTGTGTGTGTGTGTGTGTGTGTGTGTGTGTGTATGTGTGTGTGTGTGTGTGTGTGTGTGTGTGTGTGTGTGTGTGTGTGTGTGTGTGTGTGTGTGGTGTGTGTGTGTGTGTGTGTGTGTGTGTGTGTGTATATGTGTGTGTGTGTGTGTGTGTGTGTGTGTGTGTGTTGTTTTAAAGTGAACAAGCACCTGAGTGTGTGTTTTACTGCAACCTGTCCATTATCTCCGCCTCATAACAACCAGGTGATTTCATAGAAGACTGAAGGGTCTTTACAAGGAATTCAAAATCAGATTGTGAAGAATTTTCCAGGAGAAACACTTCCTCGCTTTCTTACTGAGGGTTAAATATGAAGACAGTTAAAACACTCTTGTCTGAACATGTTATTGAGATGTTGTCGTCATACGTCACTGTGATTGGTTCAGCTGTTTCAGAGCAGTGATATGACTGGCTTAGACATTTTTATTTATAACCACCTCCTCCAGTGTATATTCAACTTGATAAGCGTTATTGCATTAAGAGCTTTTGCACCTACATGGAGACACTCACACTGTCAGTACGGCCAAGATCTCAAAGACACGGTGCCCTGAATCTCCTTTGCTTAATAAGTTCAAACACTGCAGTGAAAAAAATGACAAGTTGGGGATTTTGGAGCCTCTATTTCGTGTCTGACGGCATTACATGCCATTTAGGGTTAGTGATATTAGTGACGAGTGATATTTTTCCAACAGTGGTGCTCACCCTGTGAATGATGCCGGCAGCGTGCAGGTGTTTGATCCCACACAGCATCTGGTAGAGCAGGTAGGACAGCCGCTCGTGGTCCAGCTCCATCTGGATCACCTGGCAGAGGTTGGCATCCATCAGCTCCATCACCAGATACCTGCAGGGACACCACAGAAAGGATAAGCTATCCAGAAGAAGCAGGTAGTCGGACACACATGCACAGAGAATCCTACATACACGAAGAGCTAAATAAATGCATGTCATGTTCAACAGGGGCAAGAAGAAGCTTAACACAACTTTTCTGGTCCTACCCCCTCTAGCGTACATTTTCCTTGAAAATAAAAGATTAGGTCATCGTCATCAGCGTCATATCTTTTCTGACAATATAGTACTACTTAAACACATTGAACATGTAATATAATACGATTCATGTAGTTGGCAAGTTATTTGAAACCATGGATTATTTTTCAGACATTTTACTTTGTTGTTTTTTTCACCACACAGGGGAAGGTCAACACTTTCTGACATATCATTGATATTTTCCTGGCATTTGACAAGACTAGTAATTAGACATTTTACTAATACTAATACTTGACCTTTTTACATTGGAATATTTTTCCAAAGACATTGAGATGTTAGTAGTACTTTTAGGACATTAGAAATATTTGAAAATGTCACTAATATTTTCTGACATGTTACATCGTTTTGTTGAAAGACTAATGGATATTTTAGTTGTATTTTGTGGCATTGGGGAATTTTTTCAAACCTATTTTTGGGATATTACAAAATATCCCAAAAATAATATATTTATATTTCATGAACGAGATCGCGGATACAAGCGGCCGAGATGGGTTTTCTCCGCAGGGTGGCTGGCGTCTCCCTTAGGGATAAGGTGAGAAGTTCAGTCATCAGGGAGGGACTCGGAGTTGAGCCGCTCCTCCTTCGCGTCGAAAGGAGCCAGTTGAGGTGGTTCGGGCACCTAGTTAGGATGCCACCTGGGCGCCTCCCTAGGGAGGTGTTCCAGGAACGTCCAGCTGGGAGGAGACAGAGGGGACCTAGGACCAGGTGGAGGGATTATATCTCTTCGCTGGCCTGGGAGCGCCTTGGGACCCCCAGTCAGAGCTGGTTGATGTCGCCAGGGAAAAGAAAGTTTGGGGCTCTCTGCTGAAACTATACCCCCGCGACCTGGCCACGGATAAGCGGGAGAAGATGGATGGATATTCTACAAATATATATCTGGACATTTTACAAATATTTTTGCTCAAATGTTTTGATATTCCCTAGTTGTTTTTTTCAGAGAGAATTTCGAAAATGTTACTAGTTTCCTTTTAAAGATCTTTTTTACATTTTTCGTCAGTCCGGAGAGCCTTACATTTCTTATCCATCCAGATTAGTAAAACTAAAATATGGAAATAAGTGTAAAGCCACATTTTCCTCAGCGAGGCAGCACTTGTTTCCCGTGGCATTTAGGAAGTGACAGACAGTAATGTTTCTCCGTCTCAAATCGGTGCTGATGTTATGTTCTCTGGCAGCTGTTACATCATCACACGGAGTAAGGAACCTTCGTATTTTTAAACACAAAGACACATTTTGGGGACAGAGCGTAAAAAGTAGGACCTCTGCTTGGACGATATTTGTATGTACTCCATGTTTTAGGACAATAATTACCGCTATTTTATCTGTAATACGAGTCTGCATTCAGGTATTCAAACAAACAGCCGAATGGAGTGTTTTCCTCCGTCCTCTAAATGTGTGTTCGCTCTGCAGCCCTCTGGCTAAGATTTGTCCAGTTTCCTTTTTAGCTCCAATCAGGCAGACAGAGTCACACACACACACACACACACACACACACTAGAGGATGGCATTAATCATGTTTGTTCCCGTCAGACTCCGCTAAACCATCACTTCCCCCACTTCTCAGTTCAGGATTTCCTTCTCTCTGCCATCCCACTTCCACTCATGGATGTCCTGACGACTTCAAACACATCGGGAACGCTACCAAATATAACCTAAAGTTAATGTTAAAAGGCAGTGTGCATAGTTTATAAAGTCGGAGATTACGGAAGAATAATATTAGACCATAATGCAAAATCTGCACCCCTCGAGAACCACTATTTAGTAGTTTGCATATTAAAGATTGTGTGTCATGGTTTCAGATGTTGCTTTAACGCACCTTTGATATCTAATAAGGCCATTTGTCATTGTGGCTTAAAAGGGAGCGTTAAAATCCAAAATTAAACATACTTTCATATTTTTCTTCTTACTTGTAGAGCTTTTATCATGTGATGTAAAGTGATAATGGTGGTGGGAGAGTTAATTGAAAACCTAGATTATTTTTGATGACCTTTTACTTTGCTTGTTTGAAGTGTGTTAGGAAATATTGTTAGATTTTTTTTACTACTTAAATGTCATTTTTTTCCAGTGATTATATTTCCACAAATTCATTTTAGACATTTTATTTTTGGAGATGTTTACAATATGTTCTTAAATTCTGCATCAGGGTATTTTTATGAGATTTTTTTGTATATCTTTCTAGAGTTTTACTTTTAGAATGATTTGTCTTTTAATAATTCTTGAAATGTTACAAATATTTTCTGAAATTTAGAAGTTTGTTTTTCCTGATTTTTTTTTAGACATTTTCACGAGTCTCTCCGTATAGCCATAACCATCCAGTATGTCTTTTATGAAGTCCTTCTCCCTGCACTGTGGGTGTTTCTCAATGTCGAGTAAAGCTGATCGAGAGCCACTATTTCAAGCATACTACGTCATCGAGTGCCGCCGAAGGACTGTCCTGATGAGGGTGTGCAAATATGATCACATCACCCCCATCCTTAAAGCACTACACTGGCTACCCGTGGAACTGAGGATCAAATTCACGGTCTCCGTCCTCACCCACCAGTGTGTCCATGGAACTGCCCCTCCCTACCTCAAGGAACTCCTCACCCCCCATACCTCCTTGCGGACCACCCGCTCCAGCAACTCCAACTTCCTCAAACCCCCCAGGACTAAGCTCCGTACTATGGGAGACCGGGCCTTCTGCTCGGCTGCTCCCAGTCTGTGGAACGCTCTCCCCGACCACACGAGAGCACCACAGACCGTGGAGGCTTTTAAAAAAGGCCTCAAAACCCATCTCTTCAAAAGAGCCTTTGCCTAGACCTTTTATTTATTTCCACCCTTTTATTTTATTTAAATTTTATTTGCTTTTTATTAATTCTACCGTGTTGTGTAATGTTTATTTATACTGTCCATGCTCACCACTTGTAGCACTTCGGGATTTGAAATCAAATATGAAGTGCTTTATAAATGGAACCCATTATTATTATTACTGTTCCAATGTCCAGCATACTTGGACTTCTACCGAGCCCGGCGTACTTCGTAGCGAGAAATTTCGAGGCTGCACATGTGTAGACTCCGTGGTCTTAAAATCCCCACAATGCTTTGCGCACGGACCAATTTCCCCAAATGTGTGGCGGAAAATGTAAGGCTCTCACATGACGCACACCTGCACACTTGCTCGCCTGTTCCACTCTTCGTTTTCCGAATGCCAGGAAGGATTCTTGCCTCGCTTCTGAAGCAAGTGACTCGGAAGACATGTGCTACCAAGCAAGCGTCCTCGACATTGAGAAACACCCTGTGTGTCTGTAGTAAAGCAGCATCTAACAAACCAACGAGAGATCAGCTGATCCCCTAAAAGTCAGAAAGGTAATCCTAGCCCCCAGCAGGCTGCATCCTGGATCGATTTGGGCGCAGTAATACTCACACATCTTGGAACTCTTCCAGCGTCTTCTGTGGTGTGAATACATTTAACAGCCCGATTATCTGTAGAAACAAGGAGACAAACGGTTATAAATCTCAGAGTGGAGGGAAGAGGGAGGAATCTCTGCAGCAGCCTGAGCATCAATAATGAATATCAGGACATTTTACGCCTAAAAACACGACATTAAAACAAGCTGCATGACTGCGGTTATTCACAAGATCAGCTGTCAGCATCAAACAAGGACACTGAGGTGCTCTGATGCAGCACAATCTCAAATGGACGCATAAGGACAAGAACGATGATCAAATTGATTTAGTTATCCTCAGGGTACGCTCTGTGTCCTTTATTACCTCTCTCTCAGATTCACTGCTCCCCGGTGCTTGTTCATCACATTTAATCTTATTTAAAGTCTGAAGCAAGCGTATGCATTTAAACCCAGTTGTTATACTCGATTCATAGGAGCCAGAGGAATGTTAAATTAAAATATGAGTATTTTAGTTATTTGGGGGGATACTTGGGACGGGTGGCGCAGTGGTCTGTGCATCTGATCATCAGATCAAGGGGGGTGCTGGGGAACTCCAGTTCAAAACCCGCTCCTGCCGCCACTGCGTCAGGCCGTTGTGTCCTTGGGCAAGACAATTCACCCGGATTTGCTCCTGTGGGTAATGTCCACAGTACATGTATGATATCAATGTGTTCTTGTAAAATCGCCTCGATGACTTCGAGGCGTGAAGATGGACGGTGTGGCGCAGTGCGCTGTGCAATGATCATCAAGGGGTGAAACCCGCCGCTGCTGCGTCTGTAAAGCCGGTGTGTCCTTGGGCAAGACACTTCACCTGAACTTCCTGTGGGTATTGTCCACAGTACATGACCATTGCATGTATGTGTAATGTGTATTTGTAAAGCGCTTTGAGCATCTGGAAAAGCGCTTTAATAAATGTAAGGAATTATTAATTATTATTATACTGGGGTTTGTAACAGTTGATCTTTTTTTTGAAAGAAATAATATAAAAGATAAATATATTTTAAAAAAAGGAATGAAATTGATTTATGTAAAAATAAGAAGATTAGGTAAGCGAAAAATAAGATTAAATACAAAAAATAAGATTATATATCCATTAACTTCCATTACTTCCTCCTGACTGCTTTTCTGTTTTGTTTGTCTACCCCTCCCTCCCAAATGTAAAGCGTCTTTGGGTTCAAGAAAAGCGCTATAGAAATAAAATGTATTATTAAAAGAAATTAGTTGTATAAACATGAAGTTATTAATAGGTCCATTAAAACATGAAATACAAATTATAATATTTGTATATAAACATAAAGTTCAATCCATTAAAGGATAAAATAAAATGTGTATATAAATGAAGTTAAAGTAAAAGCGTGCACTTAAAACAACAAAAATTGAATTAAAACATTAATATAAACATAAGAAGTAAAAAATGGCACATTATACGACGATACATAACATGGAAGTCACCATATACATAAGATAAGATAGTAGTTAAAACGTATCCCTAATGGTAAACTAGATGTACAGAAACATAAAATAATTGCTCAAAATAACAGAAGTCTCTCACGTTCTTGTGGTTGACACACTTCATGAGCACCAGCTCCCTGTAGGCGCGCTTGGCGTGAGTTTGGTTCTGGAACGGCCGACTCAGCTTCTTGATGGCGACGTTCCTCTCAAAGTTGTGATCATACGCTGAACTGAGGGGAGGAAGGAGAGCAGACACTCAGCCAATAATAACATTTAGGTTTTAGCAGCACTTCTATGAACCAAGGGATTATTATTTCACACACACATGCCCCTTTCACACCAACGCGGTTCCAGGGCCGGTTCGGAGCTTGAAAAGCACCGTTTTTTTCCTGTTCACACCGCAGCGGAGCCGCCTCTAAGCTCCGGAATCCGGTTCGTTTCAAGCACCAAAAAGTTGTCAGTCTAGAAGCAAGCACCGTATACGTCACGCTTACGTCGGAGGAGGGGGCAGGGGCGGGATCAACCTCCTGAACAACAACAAAAAGCCTGCGTTTTATCCAGACGATTGTAAAGTTGGTAGTAAAGTCGTCCCATTTCTTCCATTTCGCTTCGACAGATACCTACCTCATTCACACCAACGCAACTCCGGTTCAAGCTCCGTGCTAGAGCTTTTCAGGTTCAGAACCGGCTCTTCGGTTTAGCTCCGGCTCTTTTCACACCGCCCAGAGTCCGACTGGTGCTGCGTCATTGCGTCATCGTTTGCGTCATGACGTAACCGTTTACGTGCCAGCTTCCTCTGTGCCTCTTCGGAAGACCAGATTCCAAGCAGGTAGCTGGTCTCTTCAGTGGACCACTGCTGCTTGTTAAGTTTCTCCATCGTTGTGTACAAACTGGATAAAACGCCGGCTTTTTGTTGTTGTTCAGGAGTTGATCCCGCCCCTGCCCCCGCCTCGACGTTAGCGTGACGTATGCAGTGCTTTTGCTCTGGCCGGACAATTTTTTGGTGCTTGAAACGAACCGGATTCCGGAGCTAAGAAGCTGCTCCGCTGCGGTGTGAACAGGAACACCCGGTGCTTTTCAAGCTCCAGCTCCGAACCGGCCCTGAAACACCGTTGGTGTGAATGAGGTAAGAGCAAAACCAAAACTAGTAGCGCTTCAATACAATTGGCCATTGTTGTTGTTGTCGTTGTGAGGGGTTTCCGCGTGGTTTGGCTTTATGAAGCAGGCACGTAAACGGTTATGTCATGACGCAAACGATGACGCAGCACCACTCGGGCTCTGGGTGGTGTGAACAGAGCGGGGGCTGAAAATAAAAAACGGTATTGAACAGTATGTTTTTAACAGTTGATTACCCTGAACTTTAAGTATAATTCAACTGAAAAACCAAAAGAAATTATAAAAAAAATAATCGTTTTATTTCGATTACGTTGTTTTCGTAATCGTTGCAATCCGTAATCGCGATTAAAATACGATTAATTGAGCAGCCCTAATGTCGAGTAAACCTGCTGCAGAGCCACTATTTCAAGTATACTACGTCATCGAGTGGCGCCGAATGCTGGGCATTTAACATGCATTTAAACAGTCCTTCGGCGCCACTCGATGACGTAGTAGACTTGAAATAGTGGCTCTGCAGCAGCTCTACTCGACATTAAGAAACGGCCACAGAGACTTTAACTCAGTCTGTGTGTTTCGTTTCCTATCGTTACTGAAGAAAGGTGATGGTTACTGCTATATAAAAACACATTGAAAGCATTAAGCTGTTTATTTGTGGCCATTACAGGGCAAAACAAGTTGAACATTAAACATAAGACACATTTCAACCATATTTAAAGGACATTTTCTGTATTTTCCAAACTATTTTCTCAGTGACTGATGGGAACAACGATTTTAGAAATTGGCTCGGTATTAAACGAGAGCAGCCGGCAGCCATGAAATGGGCTTCATCGAAAATGTGGGACCACTCAGAGTGTTGTTTTGTGGCTGCCAACAGGCTCAGTTTGTTGTTATAAGAGGCTGAGAGGATTATGGGAAGGAGTTTAGAGAAAAATACAACTTCATTCTTTACCTTTTGTGTCTCAAGTCCGGCTCAAAGAAAACCTTTTAAAAGGTAGGGTAGGTAAGAATGGACAGACGAGCTAGAATTTGAAAGTACGTAACCGAAAAAAATCTGCCCCTTCCTTCAGACTTCCTCACAGAGCCCCTCCCCCAACACACACGAATGCGCACATGACCAATGAGGGCACGAGATGAGTTTGTGCACAGATAGAAGGCTGACAGGCAGGTAGGCCATCCAGTTACTTTAGCCGGATGATTGGTCGTGCTTTTTACAGCGCTACAACTTCCACAGATGATAAGTGTTTCTGAAGTGAATTACCTACCCCACTTTTAATTGTGCATTTTCAAATAGTTTTGGTCTATTTTTAGAGGTTTTCTATCCGCTATATTCACAGTAAGTCCCTACAATTATATATAAAGGAATAAACAAACGTAAAAGCTAACAAAATAGACAAATCTTACCACGTTGTATTTTTCTACGTTTTTACAACCACATCTCACAGAGTTTGCCTCGTTAGTCAGTCAGTCTGTTATCATGCAGCCTTATTAAGTGATCATCATTAAGACAACTAATGAAGACGTTGAAATCCATATGAAAACTGATAAAATGCTGATGATTGAGAAAGTGGATCTTGAGTTCATTCGGACTAGTTGTTAGAGTGTCAAAGAAAGCCTTTTTAATTGTGAATTTCAAATAGTTGTGGTCTATTTTTACAGGTGTTCTATCTGCTATATTCACAATAAGTCCCTAAAATGAAACATAAAGGAACAAACCAACGTAAAAGCTAACAAAATAGACAAAACAATCTTACCACAAAGTATTTATCTACGTTTTTACAACCACATCTCACAGAGTTTGCCTAGTTATTCCGTCAGTTATCAGCCACTAATCAAGTGATCATCTCCAAGATAGCTATCAGCCACTAAGGAAGACCATGAAATACATTTGAAAACTGATCAAATCCAACAATTGAGAAAGTGGATCTTGAGTGGCGGATACAAGCGGCCGAGATGGGTTTTCTCCGCAGGGTGGCTGGCGTCTCCCTTAGGGATAAGGTGAGAAGTTCAGTCATCAGGGAGGGACTCGGAGTTGAGCCGCTCCTTCTTCGCGTCGAAAGGAGCCAGTTGAGGTGGTTCGGGCACCTAGTTAGGATGCCACCTGGGTGCCTCCCTAGGGAGGTGTTCCAGGCACGTCCAGCTGGGAAGAGACCAAGGGGTAGACCTAGGACCAGGTGGAGGGATTATATCTCTTCGCTGGCCTGGGAGCGCCTTGGGACCCCCCAGTCAGAGCTGGTTGATGAGGGGAAAAGAAAGTTTGGGGCTCTCTGCTGGAACTGCTACCCCGCGACCCGACCACGGATAAGCGGGAGAAGATGGATGGATGGATGGATCTCAAAGAGTTTGCCTAGTTATTCCGTCAGTTATCAGCCACTAATCAAGTGATCATCTCGAAGATAACTGAGCAAACATCAGCCACTAAGGAAGACCATGAAATGCATTTGAAAACTGATCAAATCCGACAATTGAGAAAGTGGATCTTGAGTTTAAACTACTATTTTTAAGATCAACATGGTCTTTAACTCACCAGACGATCCCCTGCGCTCCGGATCCGATGGGTCTGAGGTTCTGGTAGCGTTTTAAAACCATGAACGTTGAATCTCCCACATCTATACTGTAGTACTCCTTCTCACGCTTGTTCCTGTTCATCATGAAGCCGTGGACAAACCTCTGGGCATCCAAGTGGAGCTCTCCTCTCGAAAACCTGCAGCGCGTAGAGAGAGAGAAACAAATGTCATTTATGCAACTTTTTCAAAATCATATTTCACTGGATATCAACACTGAACTAAAACGAAGGAATGAATGAATTTCACATCGTTTTTTTTTAAAGATTACTGGATTTTTTTATTTTATTTTGTGATGTTTTACATTGGGGAATTTTTGAGAACCGATTTGCCATTTTTTGGATATTCTACAAATATATATCTGGACATTTTACTAATATTTAAAAAACATTTTCCAATATTTCCCAGTTGGTTTTGTTCATAAAGAATTTCCAACATTTTAGTCGTTTTTATATTTAGATCTTATTGTGCATTATTTAATATAGCATGTTTCCAAATCAGCAGAAATCTAAGCTTCCTGCCAGTGTTCACAACAACAGCCAATAACATTTTGATAAAGTGCTCCTACTGTAGATGTATCCATCAAAGAGACAGGCTGTCTGCCTCGGAAACAGCTAATTACCTTCAACACTTCACTTAGTTCATTTATTAAACACTTCTAGGACTGGTATAATGAGGGGACCTTATGTAATTAATTTGAAACACCCTTATGCAAAGCTTTTAATACTCATTTTAGTCTAGACCGCTACCTTATTATGTTAATTCTTTAGAGCGAATGAAATCATGTTGATTACCAAGTTGCCATCCTCTATGTTAGTATATTTTCCCTCTGCCTGTATCAGTCCAACCCATTATGCTGTGTGTGTGTGTGTGTGTGTGTGTGTGTGTGTGTGTGTGTGTGTGTGTGTGTGTGTGTTTTACTGCAACCTGTCCATTATCTCCGCCTCATAACAACCAGGTGATTTCATATAAGACTGAAGGGTCTTTACAAGGAATTCAAAATCAGATTGTGAAGAATCTTCCAGGAGAAACACTTCCTCGCTTTCTTACTGAGGGTTAAATATGAAGACAGTTAAAACACTCTTGTCTGAACATGTTATTGAGATGTTGTCGTCATGCGTCACTGTGATTGGTTCAGCTGTTTCAGAGCAGTGATATGACTGGCTTAGACATTTTTATTTATAACCACCTCCTCCAGTGTATATTCAACTTGATAAGCGTTATTGCATTAAGAGCTTTTGCACCTACATGAACCAAAACAGCAGGTTCGTTTGGAGACACTCACACTGTCAGTACGGCCAAGATCTCAAAGACACGGTGCCCTGAATCTCCTTTGCTTAATAAGTTCAAACACTGCAGTGAAAAAAATGACAAGTTGGGGATTTTGGAGCCTCTATTTCGTGTCTGACGGCATTACATACCATTTAGCTGATGCTTTTATTCAGAGAGACAATAAGGGCAGTTAACCATGAGGATAAGCCAAAACATTTTAAGTGCTGGAGTGTGAGTGTGAGTGTGTGTGTGTGTGTGTGTGTGTGTGTGTGTGTGTGTGTGTGTGAGAGAATATTAGCAGAATAATTGATAACAAAGCATTATTATTAAGTGTGTGTGTGTGTGAGTGAGTGAGTGAGTGTGAGTGAGTGTGTGTGTGTGTAGGTGTGTGAGTGTGTGTGGTGTGTGTGTGTGTGTGTGTGTGTGTGTGTGTGTGTGTGTGTGTGTGTGTGTGTGTGTGTGTGTATGTGTGTGTGTGTGTGTGTGTGTGTGTGTGTGTGTGTGTGTGTGTGTGTGGTGTGTTATGAGTAGGGGTGCAACAACTAATCGACTTAATCGATTAAAATCGACAACCAAATTAGTTGCAACTAATTCAGTCGTTGATTCGTTGGTGACGTCATCACGTGTGTTTTACACGCCGTTAAGCTCCAACGTTATTAGTCTTTTTATCGGTACTGGAGACATTTAAAAAATACATGTCATGTATTATTGCTACATAAGCATTATCTCGCAGTCTTAGTGTCGCCGACTCGTTTCTAATATTCAAAGACAAGAAATGCGTCTATGGTGTATTTTCGACCTTTCCAATCCAGACGAGATCTCTCTCCCGTCTGTGTGCGAGGGGGCGGGGCGGTTTACACACACGCAGCTGCTACATGCAGCAACACACTGCGGAGGAGATGGCGGAGAGAACGCGCTCCCAGGTGGTTAAACTTTACCCGTCTCGATGCTCGTTGCCTAAAGTGCAATAAGAGTTCAGCATGTGAGGGCGGGAACACGAGCAATGTGTCTAAACATTTATCAAAAGTGCTCCACATGCAGACGGAGGAATGCACCGGCTGTCTTTATAGCAGCTCTGTAGCCCCATCACGAGTAACGTTTCCACGTCAGGTGTTCTGTATGCTAGCAGCAACACACGGAGTTAACTCCATGATACAAACATGGGTTAATGATTAGAGGAAACTGAGTTATTTATTTAGTTAAAGTTTCAGCTCTTCTGTTCACAGTTCTGTCATCAGATTATTTAATACGATTTGTTAAAACATTGTTGTTTCTTTTGATGTGAAATATTATTTATTTAATTTAAATAAAAAGCAATGTTAATTCTGTTCACAATTTGTTGTTAATTTATAATATATGTATTTTTGAATCAAGTATGAATCTTTATTGTCTTGTTAGTTTCCACATGCCTAAAACAGCCTCAAGCTACATCTAAAAGTTTATGGCTAAACAAGAGCGTTTGAGAAATTGTGCAAGGCGTACAGTAACAGTCCGAATAGTCGATTAATCGTTTCATTCATCGATAGATTAATCGATTATCAAATTAGTCGTTTGTTGCAGCCCTACTTATGAGACTTACTTCTTTAATTAACGTTGTGAACAATGCAGTCTTACAGAGTCGCCCTCTCCAGGATGCAGCCTGTGTTATGAGGGAAATGCCATCTGACATAAATGGTCGTTTTCTCACTTAAAAAGGTTTTTGTATTTTAAGACATTAACCTATAGTGAAAACTAATGTCAGATGCTCCAAATCACATTTAAAAAACAATACATCTTATGTAGCATAATGGAATGGCAAGTATAACATATATATGATCAACAATATGTTTTCTTGTACATTGAATGCATGGATGACATTTTGTCATTGAGTCATTTTCTCCGGCGTTGTGTAACAAAGTGAGTGTTGATTCTTAAATCTGCTTCCTGGTCAGAGATGAGGAGCATATGAATAGAGAACAAGGAAGTAAAGGAGTCCAATTAATTAAAAAAAGCAACTAATGTGTCATTTTTCTCCGAACAGAAGGTCTGAACAGTCAGGAGGAGGCGTTGTGGTAAAAATAAACAGCTTTTTGCAGACTTTGTGGGCCACAACGAACAAGAAGCCTATAATAACTCATTTGAACGATAAGACAGACAACTCACACATTAAATAATAATAGGTAGCAGTGTATTGATGGAGAAGTGGCAGAGGCAGCTACGTTTGGACTTTTACAGCCATATAATTCGTCTGTCTGTATCCCTGCAGAAAGCTGTGTTTATCTGAATGTAATTCCATGAAGTAGATCAGCTCGATTATGGCAAAAATCATAATCTCTAATTATTTGGGTCAATAATTGTAATTGCGATTATTAAATGCGATTATTCATTGACTTTGAAAACATCCATTTATTGTACTTTAAAACAAATACAAATAATAATTTCAACTTTTTAACTGTTGAATTATACGTTCAGGGTAACCAACTGAAAAACCAAAATAAAATAAAATCAATTATACATTCATGTCTACATTTAAATAAATAATATCAAAATATTAAATACTAATAAACAAGATCAACACACATGTTGCAGTGCACTGTCACAACCTGAAAACTCCTTAACATATAGCCAACATTTTGGTAAAACATATTCAACATATTCCACTCAGTTAAACATTAAAGGCGGCCCACCGTCATGGTCCAGAAGTAACAGGAAATAAATGTTGAACTACAATTTAAGGCCAAATAAAAATGTTTAGGCCACCATGGCAAATGCTGGTAGAGCTGCTCGTGTCATCTCTTAAAGATTTGTTGCTAGAAACTAGGGCTGCTCGATTATGGCAAAAATCATGATCTCGATTATATGGGTCAATAATTGATTCAATATAATTATTGACCCAAATAATCGAGATTATTATTTTTGCCATAATTATTATAAAAATTAGGGATGCACGATATTGGTTTTTTGAAACCGATACCGATAACTTCCTGCTTCTCAAGACCGATACCGATAACCGATAATAATATAATATATATATATATATTAAATGTACCTGTTTTTGCACACCTGGTGGTAAAAGAAAGACTAGTAGTGAGCAAATGACATGAGCATTACTACTATGAACAAAACAAAGCCAAGAACAGTTTTGACTCTCGTCAAGTGCCATCATTTCTATGATGAAGTTAGAGATCGTTTTAGCCCTGGGGTCGTCTCTGGCAAACTTCTTGCCTTTTTCAAAAGCCTCGTCGATCGGTAAAAGCCCCGGTGCCTTTGCAGCTGGCTTTGGATTCGCCGCTAGTTTAGCAGCGCAGGCGTCTTCGTACGCTTTTAACACACCATCGTAGCGATGGCGATGTTTCAGGTGACTAATCAGGTTGGAAGTATTATAGCTCGTTGCCTTTTTCCCTCCTCGTGCAACTTCTGCATTTGTTAATAAAATAGCAAGCGAACTATCTAACTCTAGGGGTGTAACGGTACACGTACCCGTACCGAAATTATTCGGTACGGGCCCTTCGGTTCGGTACAGGTGTGTACCGAAGTGTACCGAACGAATATAACGTTAAACGTAAAAAATTGAGAACGTGAACAACTTGTTGGAAGTAATCTCAGGTGCTGCGTCGCAGCATTCAGAGTAATTTGCTCACATTGGGTTCAACGCGTCATAGAGCGAGCAAGTCATTTCATTGGACGAGAGGCATACTATGAGAGCTGGTCACAGGGATGCGTTCAAATGTAGTCAGTAATTTGAGGAACTGTCGAAAATTAATGGCGAACGCAGATAAAGTTGAGCTCGAAAATCCTCCAGCATCATTGAAGTCTCCGGTTTGGGAACATTTTGGTTTCGCAGTTACGAACAAGGATGAAGGACAAAGACAGGTGGACCGAACCAAAGCTGTTTGTCGGCATTGTTCAACTAAC